AACTAATTTATTGATATACTAAAGATAAGAATATGGGTTATAACAAAGATAGAAGCATTTGTTAATTTTGGGCCTAAGTATCATAGCTTATCTCACAATCACTACCCATGCTTAGAAACCCGAAAGGGTGGGCTGAATCAGTCCCAATTGAACCGCTTAAGATCTGGGTTTCCAGTGAGGCTCTTTTGTATTCTTTTAAAAAAAAGAGTAAAATTATCACAATACAGATAAAAGATGAATAGTTTAACATTTTACCCATTCATCAGTTTTATTTTAAAATACCCATTAAAGAGCACATGATTTCAAGTTGCACTAGTAGCAAATGGGTAAATTATTAAATAACTCATATCTTACAATTATTTTTGATAAATTCCCTTTGAAGAAACTTTTTGAAAGACAGGTGGGAATGGACAAGAACATGGCAAGTTTGGGGAATATTTAGATCAGTACTGCACATCCATCATATAGGAGCCGGTTCATTAGATTTTAAAACAATTTTCAATACTATGAAACTTACGTATTATATTTGTATATACCATATATATAATAAGGCAAAGCATTGTATATGTCTCTACATAAATGTGATATATACGTCCAAATATTTAAGTGGTTTAAAGAGGATAAGGACCTCAAACTCTTTCTTAACCCATCTCAAACTTGGATAAAAGAAGTGGATTGTGTTAGGTAGGCAGCCAATGTAAAATTTTGTCAAAACTTTTTATGAATCATAAATTTAAGTTATCTATTTATACTACGGCGTAGATATGAAGCCTTATGATCTCACTGATGATATGACTCTTGATAGAGCGTAATGACATACCAAAATTCATGTAGCCAACCACACATGGTTGGGAAAAATGCTCTTATGGTGATGATGATGATGTCCAAATATTGTCATCTAATCATAATTTGCGATTTGGGTATGAGTGAATAACTATGTGGTAAGTAGATGACTTATTTTTGGATTTAATGTTGGTAGACTAACAATCTATCATTTATAATATGCATATGATAATATTATCTTTTGTAGCCCAGATGAACAAGATGTAAGGAATTTGTAAGTGTTCTTAAAGCGTATGGAAATAGTAACGGGTCTCAAAGTGAATTTAGAAAAAACAAATTTGATTAGGTTGGAGTTTTAGAGAATGTGGTGGCATCTATGGCATAAATTCTTGGATGTAGGGTTGGCAAATTTCCTTGTAAATATTTGGGTATTCTTTTATTTGGAGGAAACTAATCGATAACTATTTGGGATCCTATTATTGAATGATTTAATAAGAAATTTGATCTGTGGAAGTCTAAAGTGTTGTCACTTGGAGAAAGATCTACTCTTATCAACTCTACTTTTTCCAACTTACCTATCTATTTTATGTCTATTTTCAGAATACCAAAGCAGGTGGTGAAGACTTTGGAAAACATTGTGAGATCTTTTTTATGGGTCAATGCAAGAATAGGGAAAAAACCAAAACTCATGAATTAGGAAAAGGTATGCTCTTCAAAAAGAGATGGAGATCTAGGAGTCAAAAAGCCCAAATTGATGAATACTAGCCTATTGACTAAGTGGCGGTGGCGCTTCCAAAATCAGCAAGATAACTTATGGAAAGAGGTATTAAAAGAAAAATATGCAATAGATGTATTGACTAACCTCATTAAAAGTCCAAGTTCTAATGTTGGTTTTTCAAGTATTTGGAAAGGAATTGATTCGTGTCGATCATTATATCTTAGTCATTGTCGCAAAGTGGTTGGAAAGGGAGATCAAACATTGTTATGGTTTAATAAGTGGTTGGGAGACCTTGCTCTTCGAGATTCTTTCCCTGAGGTCTTCTCCAAAGTCGATAACCATTGGTATCAGTGAAAGATCTTAGAGGAGCTGATTTTACTAATTCTTTTTGGAATTTTGTTTGCAAGTACATGAGGGTATCATATTCTTTCTTTCATGAGTTCCAATTGCTTTATGAATATGTTGCATAATTTTTTTTTATGTTCCCAAAAAGATGATCGATTGGTGTGGGAACTCACAGCTTCAGGGGATTTTTCAGTTAAGTTTGGCTGCATTAGGAGAATCACAGTTTAGCAACTGCTGATCATAATTTAGCGAGAATATTGAATTTGCAGGTGCCACTGAAGGTTCAGTTATTTTTGTAGGTAGCTCTTCAGAAAAAGCTGCCTACTGTAGATAACTTTCGTAAGAGATGTTTCATAAGGATAACAAAAGTGTGGACTATATTATTTTACATTGTCATTTCACTCTAAGCATGTGGGATTGGTGTAGAAAGTTGTTGAATCTAAATATCTTGATCCCACAAAGCCCAAAGTTGTTCATCTCTCAATGGATGAACCCTGGTTTGTCGAAAATTGGAACCGTGCTATGAAGAGCTTTATTGAAAAGTATTATTTGGAATATTTGGAGAGAGACAAATAAAAGAACATTTGAAGGGACACAAAGGGATATGAAAGTTTTGAAATTCAACTCCTTAGCAACAACATCTGAATGGTTTTCAACAAATAATGATTGTAAGTTTGTCCCAAAATCACAAATTTTTTAAAAGTCATATGAAGTTGCTAAGCTTAATTGTGACAGGTAGACTCGAAATGCTATTTGGATGCCTCCTCATGAAAATTGCTTAAAATTCAACTTTGATGGAAGCTCGATCGAAAACCCAAGCCTAACAGGTTATAGTGGTACCGTTAGAGATCATATGGATAATTACAAATTCACCTACTCGGGACCATGTGGACATATAATAGTGAATGAAGCGGAGGCAATAACTCTTTTGGAGGGATTAAAAATAATAAAGAACCTCAAGGGCCAAAAGATGATTGAAGGTGATTCAAGCAATATCATTAATTGGTCAAAAGGATAAATGAAGCTACCATGGAGATTATGCAACATTTTTGACAAAATTTTTTTCATTTAAAGAAGTAGACCTTTTGAGTTATCACATTGTTTTAGGGAGGCTAATATAGAAGTTGATGCTTTAGCAAAAGGGGGTGTGCATCAACATTCATTGGCGGTTGTATCTTTGGCTTGTAATCGCTCATGGGTGAATGAAATTCATAGTAACTGATTAAAAAAATAAAATAAAATAACAATGGTACATGTTGGTGTCCATCACTTGTCATGCCACAATTAATGTGTAAGTAAGATTATTGTCGACTTACTCTTAGCCTCCGATCAAGTTAGACTACCCATATAAATCATGTGTGTTTGAGTGTAGAGATAGGAAAAGTTTGCCGTATATATAAAACTTATGTTGTATGAAATCTAAGCATTAGTGTGCACAATCTAGTCCCATAGTGTGCATAAAATTTATGCAATATGAAGAAGTATGGCTATGGTTTTATGAGATATTATTTAATACTTTAGAAATTAAGACTACTTTTTAAGGTCTTTAAAAATCTTGCACCACCCCCCCCCCCCCCTTTTAAATAATGTACAAATGCGTCAGGTTCAAAAAGCCAATTTTAAGATTGGCACATAAGAATATTTGCATTAATGTCATACACTTGATACTTACTCGTATTCGTAGTTGACATTCATTATGGATGTGATGAGTATATGACCTACACTTTGTATTAAAAGTTAAAGCCACACCTCAGAACCCCAGTAAAAAATACAATCCCAATTATAAGAAACCTTGTGATGTTTGAGACTCTAATTGTGGCCTCAATTATGAAAGTTGAAAATAAAAAAAATGGTGCAGGATCTATAAATAGTTGAAAATACATGAACCTGATAGTGTGTTACAAAATACGTTATCTTTTAAAAGATTTAAGTATCCGTCTTTTTTTCAATCAATTCGAAAGTTTAATCATGAATTATCCATTGTTTGGAATTGTCCTTGATGAAACCATTTGAGACATATTTATAACTAGTTTTACTTTTAAGTGTACGTTTTGGAAAAATTCAAATTTATTTTATTCAAAGTAATTTGTTAAAATCATATTTTTAGAAAAAAGTTAAAAATAGTAAAAAAAGTTAAAAAATATAAATATTTAAATAATATGATATATAAGGTATGCCAAATAACTAGCAAATTAATAATATATACAGTAAATTAATTGTAGTTAAGACATTCTACTTCTGATAAAATCATAAAAAATTTCATTCGTACCATAAATAAAATAGAGAATTATGTAGAGGTCAAAGTTTTGACAATTTACATGGAGATCCTTTTTTTTTTTCAATTTTGTACCCAATCTGATGTTCCAAATATTTGACAACCTTTTAAATTTTTTGAATTGTAGGGATTGGTTCGAGGTCTAGATTCTTAGATTGCTGGGCTTTTGTGACGAACATGTAAGCCAAGCAATCCTAAGTTTGAAAGTGTAGACCGGTCCTTAGATTGTGAATTTAGTCCAAGGGACCTCGAACTGTTTGGCTGGCAACACGTTGTGCAAGTCTTAAGCAGCCAGAGGTTCCATACGTCATACCAGCATCTAGATTGGGAATTTCATAGTCCAAGGACTGATCTAAGGTTCCAAACTTCAGCCTGTTTGGCTCGCTCAATTTTTCAAAAAAATCAAATGGTTAGAGGATCCAAACTTCATACCCATCTTTACATTTCAGAAGATTAAAGAAACAAAATAAAAAAGTGGTCTCATGTTTAGAACATCGGATCAAAATTATAAAAACTAAAAAACGTACATGAAAAGCAACATACCTCATGAATTTGGAACATCGGATCAAAATTAAAAAAACTCAAAAAAGCATAAGAAAAGCAACATACCTCGTGAATTTTATAAAATTTGAACCTCTGCATAATCACCATATTAATTGTCATGTAAACACGAGTATCTTTTCTCCTTCTATTTGGATTTGGAAGGGATATTCTGCAAATTTGATGGAAAGATTTCCTGCAAAGTCCAATTCTTGTTTTTTTTTTTTTACAATTCTTATTTCCTCATTTGATATGGTATCTCTATACACGTCCATGTTTGCACACGTGTCAATGCCAAAAATACTATAAAAGAGTTATTATAAGATAAAATAACCTCCTAAAAAGGGACAAAAAAACTAGAGCCGGGTCAGCTGCCACGGTTTCCAAGGTTTTCTCACTGTAATCGTAGGGCCTATGGTTTCTAGGGTTTCTTCTAGTCTCAGAAATTGGGGCACAAACAAGTGGAGCTCTTGCTTCTCATCGCATGGGCCCATAGAGGGAGCTCGGCTTTCTTTTCAGGTATTTTAGGGTTTTCGACATGGTCGAGAATTATAGGGTTTGTTATTCTTATTCTAGTTTTTCTGTAAAATATGCTTATTTTTCGCCGTTGATCTGAAATGTTTGCAGTTTTTAGTCAAAAGAAGCGCTGGTTTGTGATTGATGGCGGATTCTTTCTGATGTGTAGGTTTTTATATTCTTATTCTGTGACATTATCACTTAGAATTGTTTTTTGGTTTTTGACAGTGTTTTTAGGGTTTTTTTTTTTTTGTGGGTTGATTTCTAGTATGCTCTGCATCTTCTGCATATTTTTCTTATTGGTCTGTGATGTTTTCATGATTAGGGAAAAATAAATCCTTTCTCATCAAGAGGTGAAATCTTTCCGATTTGTTGGGGTTGTTTGTTCTCGGTGATTGTTTTCCTGCATAGTGGACTGGTTTCCAAATGGCTGGTAAATCAATGGAAACTGAGCTTCTGAAACTGTTTGACAAGGCAAAGAAAGCTGCAGATTTAGCTGCATTTGATCAGGGCTCAGTCCAGACTGAGGAAGCACGGTGCTTGGACACTCTCAAACTGATGAAGGACTTTCCTGTCTCTACTTCGATCCTTGTTTCGACTCAGGTGTGTAAAAGGATAGCCAAAGCTTGTTTTCTTGGTTATACTTTTCCATCTTTTTTTGTGGAGTTTCTTTGTTCTTTGTAGTAGCATGTGTACTTTTTTTATGGGTTTCTTTTATTATACTTTGATTGATTTCCATTGTCAATTACTAGTAGAATCTTTACCATATCTAATCAATGGGTCATTTCTTGATGGGAGTCTTGGTTCTACAGTAACATTTTTATATCCTAGCATCATTATGTAGCCCCAAGGAATATTTTCTTTTGAAAGATGTCCCCAAGAAAGACTTCACTGATAGTTTCTAGTAAATGACCAAAGTGTTAGTTTAATTATTCATGAAAGACGGCGTTCCTGTTTTTTCAGTAAATGAGTTACTCTAAAAATTTGTTTCCTTTTATTTCTTATCTGAATACTGGGAAAAATTGAAATTCTTTTGGGTCGGCGACAGTATATACACTATACTGACCTTGAAGTGTGATTTCTGTGTATATTCTGGATGTTCTAACTGGGAGAACATCAAAGAGTAAAAGGCCAGACCCCTTTATTCATCTGGAAAATTCAGGAGTTACAGTTAGAGAATATAGGAGAAATTTTATAGCCTATGTAACTGGAATTTATATATATTACAGCTTATCCATTGAAAACTTAGGGATTTTTGTCTTAGCTGAAGATTATTGTCAAATTATCATGTTGTAGTCAGATTTCCAGGCTAAAATGTTAGGTATAGAACTGATGAATTCAGGTGTTAATGGGTCTGGGGTTGGGTTGCCCCCTTTGCTATGTGTGTGAATTTGGATGTACGTTTGACATCTTGAATAAGTGGCCAAATAGCTCTAAAAAAGAAACCAAAACTTATAAATAATGAGATGTTCACTTCGAGCCACATTGTATAATACTATGTAAACTGATAATAGCTTCAATGACCCACATTACCAATTTTGTAAATAAGGACTAGAAAAGGAGGTGAATTTGGCTCGATCCTGTCCCGTTAAAATGGGAAAGGAAGAATTAGGAAGTTATTCAATATTTGGGAGGAGTAAGAAGTGCATGTTACAATTTCTGCGTAGACTACAAATGTGTTTCATGTGCTCATTCGTTTTTAAGTTCTGTAATGTTAGAGTTGTTCATATTCATAGGAATTATTTGATACAGAATAGAATTATACCATTTTGGCTTCAATCTGCACATGGCTTCTAGGCTTGTAGATTTTTTAACTGGCTTCATTTGTTGTGCCACATTGGTGAGTGATATTTGTCCCTTTGTCATGTTTCTTTTGATGATAAGTCGACTTTCCTTATCAAAAATCAATTCTGATTATCCAATTCATCTGGTGAGGCTAGTATTCGATGTTCTTCTGGGATTTCCGGATCTCTCTCTCTCTTTCTTTCCCCTCCCCCCCGCCTCACTCTCTCACTTTCTCCCCCCTCTCTCACTCTCTCGACACACACACACTCCATTGTTCCTAAACATTAGATGTATTGTACTTTTCTGGATTACAGGTTGGAAAACGTCTCCGTCCCCTTACCAAACATCCCAGGGCCAAGATTCAAGCAGTTGCTTCTGACGTGCTTGATATCTGGAAAAATCTTGTTATTAAGGAGACCTCAAAGAATAATAAGACAAATAACAAGTCAGATGAGAAGAACTCTATCAGAGTCGAAGTTAAGTCTATTAACTCAGGCTCAAAGGGAGAGAATGTTAAGATCGAAATGAGCCCTAACGCAAGTGTAAATGTTGAGAAGGTCCCAAAGGTCGAATCTATCAAAGTTGAGAAGGTTGAAAAAACTACAAGTGTTCGGGTTGAGAAAATCGCTAAGGAGGAGAGGGAACCCAAGAAAGCTTCGTCTTCTTTTGCACCTCCAAAGCTCTCAGGAATGATCAAATGCAATGATTCATTGAGAGACAAGTACCGTGAACTCTTGGCTGAAGCCTTCTCCAAAGTATCCAGTGAAACTGATGAAGCTATGATGGAGGAAGTGAATGCTTGCGATCCCATTAGAGTTGCTGTTACAGTTGAATCCGTTATGTTTGAGAAGATGGGCCGTTCCAATGGTGCTCAAAAATACAAGTACAGGTCCATTTTGTTTAATCTAAAAGATGCAAATAATCCAGATTTGAGAAGAAGGGTTCTTCTTGGTAAGATTAAGCCTGAGAATCTAATCAATATGACTCCTGAAGAAATGGCTAGCGATCAGAGAAAGCGTGAAAACAATCAAATAAAAGAGAAGGCACTATTTGAGTGTCAAAGAGAAGGAGCACCAAAAGCCACAACTGATCAGTTCAGGTGTGGAAGGTGTGGGCAAAGGAAGACAACTTATCATCAATTGCAAACTCGGAGTGCTGATGAGCCCATGACCACATTCGTGACCTGTGTAAACTGCAACAACCACTGGAAGTTCTGTTAATGTAGTCCGTAGTGTGCGAGTTTAGGTGCAATGCTATCGATCTATGGTTCCTTGATAGATCTTGTGCTCCATTCTTTTCAAGCAGTTCTTTACCCACGGCAAAATTGATAATAACATTTGATATGGATGAGAAATTTGATTGTGTCAATTGAATTTGATGTTATCTAACTCTTCCGAATTGATTTGGAGATATGTAGAGAGAACTATTATTCTATCAGTGTAGAAGTTGTAGTTGTATGTTTATCGAGAAACAAGTTCTCGTTGCACTATGTTCCTGTAGTCAGCATATGAAGTTGTAGTTTTTCTTCAACTAAGACAACATGCTGTAGGTGCTTTTTGTTAGTCTGGGTAGTATTTATTTTCGTGATTCCTGACATTCTTAATAATATTAAGGTGTTTCAATGTTGATTGATTTATGTTGACAGACCCAAAAATCTGTGAAGAGTCAGTGTTCAAGAAATCAACTGTTTGTCTATGGACACACCCAAATCAGACCAGATCGACAGGGTTTCTATCTGGGCTGCAAAAACACAGAATCGTCGGAGTCTCCGTGTTTTCTGGTATTTTTTTATTTTTCTTGTTAAAAATACCTTGTCTGACTTGTGACTTACCTATGTCGGACGGAGGGACATGGGCGTGGACCCTGGTAAGTTGGAGTCCGGCCCAAGTCCGACTTTTTTGAAAGTAAGTTTTATTCTTTTGGAGGTTATTAATTTGCTTGCAATGTGTAATTTAATTGGTCTAAGCCTCTTTGTGAATCTTAAAAAATGCCAAGCACTTTTCTAATTTGCTTATGCTAAAACATTTTGGCCATTTGTTCTTGTTTCTTGCCTTTATAAGATTGTGCTTTTTAAGCTCTGATTTATTGTTAACACATTGGAAACTGAAGTTTAAGCTGTTTATTTGGAAATAGAATCCAAAATTTCATGATTATGGGAGATGGGTTTGTGCTGTCCTATTAGTATGTTGAGAGGCCAAAATCTTTTGGAGTTAGGTAAGTTTCTTTTTAAATGGTGGCTTCCTATCAAACATAGAGGTGGTAGATTAGGAATGCAGAGAGTGCGTGTGAGAGAGAGAGAGATGTTTGTTGGCTTAATTAATGAGAGAATTAATCTGCATTGTCTACAAAGAGATTATTTATTTATTTATTTTTGTAGATGGAGGTCACAGTCCTTCTCACTTCAATGGTTTGGAGTGAGTTATGAAGTCTCGAGTACAAAAGAAATAAAATAACATGGTTTTTTTGTAAACAGTCCCAAATTAATCGATTGTTGTAAAAGTAATTGCCACCTTTGGAGCCATGATTTCTGGAGCCTGCAGCTTGATTATGCTCATTCAAAATGGAGAACTGGAACTTTGCCTTCACTTTAGAGAGAGAATGTTGCTTTCACAAAAAGCGAGCAGAGCTATATTTTCATCATGTTCGTTTGAAATTTCAAATTTAAAACGGGGTAAAACTCTTACCACCTTTCATTCTGGTGTATATACCGACAGAGAGAGAGAGGAGAAAGTGATTTGAATGAGTCTGATCTAGTGAGGGAGAGTCTGTCCTCTTGATAAGAGAGATACAAAGGATAACAGAGGGCGATTTAAATGGATCTGATATGGTAAGGGATTTGTCTCTATCCTCTTGATAAGAGATCACAAGGGATAAGAGTTGCTTTGATTTTCTTAGTTCTTAAAAATCTGGATTCCCTGGGTGAGCTGGGCGGTTAATGGGATTGGCAATTCTCTTTCCCGATCTTGAGAAAATAAAATATTATCTTTTATTGTAAATAAATTTGAAATAAAAAAGAAAGGAGTAGGGAACTTTGCATTCATTTGATCCAAGTCGCACTTTTTCTTGATAGATTTGCTTAATTCTCTGATGCAATCGGACAAGTCTTAATAAATCAGACTGATTATTTGTTCCGATGAGCAATACAATCTGTCCCCCACCCCTTCAAGATCAAACCCCCACCTCCTCGAGATCAAGTTGGATCAGAGCTGGTTGTGGCCTTCCTTTGTTGGCCAAATCAAATCTTGATCCGAACTGGTTATCATCATCCTCTTTCTGGCCAGGAGAGAGAAATGAGGGCAAGATCCGAACTGGTTATCATCATCCCATTTCTGGCCAGGAGAGAGAAATGAGGGCAAGAGAGTGCTTAGAAAGAAATTGAGGGTATCTGCCTCCATCACTCGCCTGCCCCAAGACATGATGGATTTGGTCAGCAAGGCTCCTTTTGTCGTTAATCAAAAGATTAGGGCACATTTGGCCCTTTCCCTGCAATAAATAATAGATCACTCGCTTTCGGAATTCAAATCCCACCTTCTTTCCCTCTATAAAACTTAAAAACCAGTAGTAGCCGTTAGCCCCTCTCCCTCTCAAATTCCCAATCGTTCTCTCTCTCTCTCTCTAATCCTCGCTTCACAGCAAAGACCATCTCTCTCTCTCTCTCTCATTCTGACGTCATACATAGGAAAGCATCAATGGCTTCAATCGGTATCAAACCAGTTACGCCGGAGAGTCGCCGGAAACCTCTTCAACCAAGAAATACTCAGGTTAATCTTACACCCATCATTGCCGGAAAACAGAATGGAGATCACAGGCCAAGATCAGCAACTGAGGTCTTTCAGATTGTCTGGGACAAGGAGAACCGCCTCGTTGGAGGATCGGCAGTTGACAAAAAATTCGATGAATCGACGGTTGGGATTTGCCCCAAGACTAAATCTCAGGGGGAAAGGGATGGCAATATATTTTCTGGAAAAGGGACGGATGGGATTGCTTCGCTTGGGATTCGGGGCAAGGAGAACTGCCAGATTGATTCAAAGAAGCTTGGCGCTTCTTTGGCAGAGGAATTAGAGGCTATCAGGGAGAAGATGGTAAGGCTGAGTTTAGAGAGAGAGAGGACAGAGGAACTGCTTAGAGAGAGAGAGTTGGTGTTGGAGAGGAAGAGGGAGGAGATGGACGAGAGGGTTAGGTTTCAAGAGAAGGCAGAGACAGAGGTAAAGAGGTTGCAGATCTTGAAGCAGCTCAGGTCACTTGTGGTGAGTGATTAATACAAACACTCTCTTCTTTCTCTCTGTTTCTTTCTCTAATGCAAATAGCCTCATACTCTTCTCTTTCTCTTTCTATTTCTATCTTCTTACTCTCTCTCTATATTTCTCTCCTAACTGTTTCTTTCTATTTCTCTCCTAACTGTTTCTTTCTCGAATGCAAATACTCACGTACTCGCTCTCTTTAATCCAAATCAATCTCTCTCTCTCTCTCTCTCTAGATATAGAGTCTCAGTCTGAGTTTTCTTCATGCACTCTTTCCATTTCTCATTTCATCATAATTTTTTGAATTCTACCTTGTCAATATTCTTTTTTTTCTCCATTTTTTACTGTGACTCTTGTTTTCCTTGGTGCTTATTTATCAGTAATATTTAATGGCGTCTGCTCCTTTGCTAGAATAACTTTCCCCTTGATTCATTGAGAGAGATAGAGCAGCAAAAGAAGTCAAATAATCAAGCTCCATTACAGGCAAGTGCACAGTTTCTTTCCCTTGTTAAATCATATCCCATCTAATTATTATTTTTCTTTTTCATTTCACTTTCCTTGAACATTTGTAACTCATCCTTGCAGATGCACCTCAAAATCTTGGGTTCTCTCTCTCTCTCTCTCTGGGTGTGGGGTGTGTTTCTCCTGTAAAAGTATTTTCCATTCATCTGTTTCTTGTTCATTTCACTTCTCTTAGAACTTTAACATCACATCCTTACATATGTAACTCAAAATCTTGGGCTCTCTCTCTCTAATATTGGGTCTCACTCTATTTGGGTTCTTTTTCTCTGTCTCATCTTGGGTTCTCATTGTTCTTTTTCTCCCTCTAATCTTGGGTGCTCTCTCCCTCTCTCTTTGTGAATACACCTCACATGAAAATATGAAAATATTGTGTGCTCCATCTTTGCCTCATCATACTCTTCTTCTAAATTTAAATCAGGTGAAAGTTGAAGAATCATTAGAGGAAAAGAAAAAGGAAATCTCAGAAAATGAATCAGCAGAGGCCGGCAAAGTCATGAGAGAGAATTAATCCCCAATTCCTCTCTGCTCTTCTTTTGCCATTTTTTATTTTGTTTTCTTTATATGTTCATGTTGCAGTTTATCGGTGCTTCCTTCTTTGATGGGGTTCTTGCTTCATCTTGCTGTTCAATGCTCATTGTTGAACAATGAAGAGTAACAGAGATCTAAGGGCAACTGATTGCGAATAAAGAGCTTCCCTTTTTTTTTCTGTTTTAATTTAGGAAAAAGTTTATATAGGGTGACAAATTTTATGGCATTGAAGTAAAAATCCTCCAAATGAGTGTTTCGATAATGGAAAATCTTCAAATTGGTCATTGATCTCGAGATGTATATATAAAGACAAAAAAAAGAAATTTAAGTCCAAAAAATAGTAATCTTGTATAAACCAACTATTTTCAAGATGTTATAGTGTTTATAGATCTCCTTGATCAAATCTATACCATGTTTGAAATTTAAAATTTTATCACTAAGGATGAATATTGATTTTCAAGCCATTACATAGTTTCAAACATCAAAATTGCATCTACAAACAAAATTTAGAGACGCACCTTACTTCTATAATTCAGAGGGCACCTTATGGAAACTTCACCCTTAACGTGCATTAAAAAGGAACTTATTACTGATATGAGAGAGAGAGGCAGGCACTTCATTATGAGAAAAAAAGTTCATGCCACCCACCGTTCAACAAAAGTTGGATGGTGGTGATTGAAAGTTAAGACTTGAATCATCACCGTAACTTTCAATCACCACCGTCCAGTCCAATAAAGTTGGACAAACTTTCGATCACCAACAAAGTTGGACTGGACGATGGCAAAAGAAAGAGAGAAGGGAGAGAGGTTTCCTTACACCCTTATTTGTAGAAGTAACGACATGATTTTTCGGGGGCCATAGAAGGGGCTGTTCTTATAAATTACAGTCAAAATGCATGCTTGTGGAAGCCATCTCTTCCCTTTTGAGGCCTACATATATTCATGCACTGGTTTGATTTGGCATTTGGATTTTCTACTCCTAAAAAGTTCCATCAATCAAACACGCCTTAACGTTTACTTGTAGAGAGAATCTATGGAAGTGATATTTTAAACTATCTATTCTATTTTAGTCTTGACATCTCTTTCAATACCATAAAAAAAAGTAGCATGTTTTTTAAGATATTTCAAATCTGTACTATCTAAATAAAATGAATAGTATAAATTATCGCAAATTTATTTCTGTAAGTTTATAACTTTTAAAAAAGTATACAAAATACCATTTACTTTTAATACAAAGAGGTCACAATCACTTTTGTCTATCATATTACAAATCGGGTGGTTGTAAGTCTTTTATTGACTAGACTCAAAGTTCAAAAAAATAAAAATAAAAATTAAACTTTGTGATGCTTCCAAATCATCAAATATGACATCTAATTGCTCGTAGTAATTATAACCTCCTTGCAACAAACGATAAAAAGGTGTGGTTTGTATAAGGTTGCGACCTTAAATAATCCAATTAAGGTGCACCTCTAAATTTTATCCGACCATGTAATTTTGATGTAAAACATTATTAAGATTATCTCAAAATCTATTTTCATATGTAATTATTAAATTTTAAACTAAAAAATGGTTAAAATCAAGTAGATCTAACATATGAAAATATTAGAAAATCGATGATGGTTTAGATAATGTGTTACAAGATGCATTCTTTTTTAGACTCAAATTATTATTATTATTATTATTTTAATATTCATTCATCTAGTTGTCGAGATGATAGGGTTTTTCAACATTAAAACAATTTTTTCCAATGTATTTTTGAGGTGCACCTGTAATTCTACGTTTTAAAGTTAAAACCTTATACAAATTTTTTCTAAAGATTAATGGTCTCATACTATACAATCCTTAAACATTTTCCTTTATATTGCAGCCACCATCGTGTTCACAACCTATATCAAGCAAAAATAGGTTGTGTTCACAAGTTGAAAAAGGCCGAGTCGTAGAGACAAAAAATAGAGACACTAGAAGTTTAAGGGCAAGATATAAAGAAAAAAATATAAAATCAAAGAGTGCAATCAAATGATTTCACTTAGGAGAGGCACGATCCAAATTTAACTTTAAAATTAAATAAACAACTCTTACAAAAATATAAGGCAAGAAAATGGCAAAAAACCAAAAATCAACGTTAAGAATTTTTATATTGAATGAAAATTTTCTCAAGGCTTTCACATATCAATGTGCTAAAGACATTTTGAGGAACATCATATGATAAATTTGCATAAATGTAGCATTAACATGAGGGAGAAATTGGAGATTTTCCATTTAGCATTCAAAAAGCCTAGTTTGGACTCTTGACTTTTCAAGATTCAGCTTTTTAGTCCAACAAATTGTTACCGATTTAGTGATCGGTAAGAGAGCTCCAATACTAACATTTTGAATCCGATTGCAAATAATTTGGTTGAGAAACCAGATAAAGAAATTTAGGTTTCGAGGCAATATGGTATAATTTTCATAAAATACCTTATCAAGATTATATATTATATGAGACCATTTACTTTTCGTACAAAAAAATAACAATCATTTTTAACCATTAGATGTGAAATCTAATATATTGAAGTGTGTTGGGACCAATATTGTAATAGGTTATGTTAGGGTGTTCGAGTAATTTATCATCGTATTTAACAAATTTTGACAACTTCTATCCTTATTTTGTTCATGTAATATTTTTTATAAAGATATTTTTGGTAATTAGGATGGATGTGACATCTTCCACATGAGGTGTGATATCACCGGCATGACATAGAATACACTAGTGAAATTTAATACACCCCTGTAGATGATGTTACACCCCTCTTAATGACAAAAAATACCCCTATTAAAAAAATTATATATACAACAATAGTATATTAATGTCTAAATTTATTGAGTACAATGATAAATTACTCCATAGTGTGAACACTGACAACCCAAGTTTAATTCATTACATTTTATTCATGAATTATCAACGGAAATATAAAAGGAAGTTCTAATCAAGAAATTACAATCATTTTTTACTACTAGTAGATATAGAATTACGTGGATGAAGGTAACCGATTGTATAGGCTTAAGGTCCAAAATAAAATAAAACCTCTTGAACTATGCGACACACTTTAAGCAGCTTTATATTACATTCAACAGATATTGGTTATTGTGATCTCCTTTAGCATCAAAGGTAAACTCTCATTGTCAAATTCTTTTCCCCATTCATTAATTAGTATGGACTATACGAATTTTGTTCAGCCATTCTGAAAATAATATCCTAATACACAATTCCAATACCAAAAACCTCACAAGCAGTCGAGAGAGAGGGAGAGAGCAACCTTTAATATACATTTGGGCCAACGTTTTTTGCTCATTAACGAGCGAGCATTAATAGTGAGCAAAAGAGTTTCTGTGTTTTCATTTATGAATGAAGTTTACAGAGGGCCAAGACTGACTTTATGAAAACAAAATAAAGTCACTTAAAATCGTCTCACGAGAAACACTTTTGGACAACAAAAATTACCATGATGGTGCTAAAATCAAATGCCAACACCGACAATGAAATTTGACACTCAAAAAACACCTAATTTTAAGACGAAACGGGCAATCTAGATAATTTGTTATGATATACACTACATTTTGAATTTGAAATCACAACCATAATGTTTAAGCCGAAATAAAATTTTTCCAATTCTTGAATTGGAAATTTCAATGAGTTATGAGTTGAGGTTTTGGATATTTTGATAGGATTGTTTAAACTTTTCCAAGAGCATGAGAATTCGTGGGAGAAAGAACGGCCACGCCCACGCCCTTGAGAGATTCATACAAACTTATTATATCCATTTTATTGACCCGCAAAGGGCAGCTATCAATAACTCCTTTGACAAGCGGTAAAGTAGAGTAGCCTAGAGAGAGAAACAAAGTCACTTCCCATGCCTTTGTTTGAGTGCCCTGAAAGCATTAGAGCTCCTATCAAAGAGGTGTGCTCTCCTATTGTAGTCACTTGGTGTGCGCCCTTTGTCCTCCCCCATAATGGCCTCCTCTTCCAAGCTCTCAAGAATTTCCACATTTTCTCTCTCTACCCCCATTTCGCTCTCCTCACCCTCTTCTCTCTCTAAAACTGACTCAACCCCCACCTCCCGCTTGTGCTGGGGCACCCCACCTGCCCCCATTTCTCTCTCCAACCTCCCATCACTTTCTCTCTCTAGGGCCAATTGAGCCCCACATCTCTTCAAATGCATTGGGTTTGGTGCTCTTACCACACGTATGGGGAGCCTAGAGAGAGAGAGTTTGATGACAATTGGAGGCGGCCTGTGGAGAAGGGATGAGGTGCTTAGAGAGAGAGAGGTCAACATGGAGGAGGGTTGTTTAGAGAGAGAGAGAGAGAGGGGATATGGATTTAGAGAGAGAATTGGACATGTTACTTGCTTTTATAGCCTCGACTGGTAGGGAGAGGGACGTGTTAAGATGCAGTATACCCATTCTTCTCTTGCCACATATCATACATGTGACCCGAAATGAAACACGTGTTAATCGATGATGAGGCTTGCGTTCGAAAGTTTCGAGGAAAATTTATGTGCTCTCGCGGGAGTATTTTTTGTTAATTGCCCAAAAGTAAATGTCTCCTTCTACACTTTTCCTTCTAGAATCATGGAACAACGGTTTCCAAAATTTGCATCGATCCACGCATCCTGCTTTTGTTTTTTTGCCACTTCCCCATTATTTGATGTCATTGCATGCGTCAACAAAAAATCCTCTCTCTCTCTCTCTCTCTACATCCTCTCTCCTATAGTTGGGCAATCAAGCCCTAACTTGTCTTTTTTGGTTTTTTGTTTTTTTTTCTCTCCTAGAAGTAGGCGATCGAGCCCTATCTTTCTTTTTCTTTTTTCTTTCTTCTTTTATTTATTTATTTATTTATTTATTTATCTATCGCTCACCTAAAATCAGGTATGAAGCCCTCGTACTGCTCATCTAAACTATCAGCAGTATGAAGATTTTTGCAAGGTGGTTGGAGGCTGAGGACCATATAAGGTTGTAATTGGGTTGGGGTTTAGATCGAGTTAATCCTGAGTAGCCAGTGTATGAATCTACGTCGACTTGGACTTTGGCACCTTAAATCTTCATAATTAGGGTGCTACCCACATATAAAATATCAGATTTAAATAGACTTTGGGAAATATTTAGTTATAATGTCACATTTAACACCGCTTATTTGTGTATCATCTTCAAAAATTCAAAAAACTAATTCTAATAAAATGAAATAACCAAAAGAATTTTGGTCAATTTTTAAATAACAATATTTAATTTCTTAGATTTATTAAATGCACTCTTGTGACAAGTGAGCGCATCCCAAATTTTATATCAAATTGAATTTGAATTATCCCATCAAGATGCTCAAAAGCTAACTGGTAATATTATGACTAGAGCTCTCTCCACTGTACAAAGGCTAAGAATTAAGTATGTTTTTATACATGGGTTGGCCACATGTAAAGTTTCCCTAATGATTATGCCCAAAAATTTTTGTAAATAGACTTCCCAACGTACCATCAATGACGATACAACGATAATAAGGAGAATAATTTCAACAAAAATAAATTAGGCTTTAATGCATTTTACATATTTACATGATTGATCCCCCTTCCCCTTCTTTTTCTTCTTCAAACATGTTCCAAATTTGGATCCCCTCTCTTTCTCTCTCTCTCTCTCTCTCTCCCCTGGACCAGGCAGATCAGGCTCAGCATTCCTTAGGAAACCACAATTTCCAGAGATCATTGGAATTTCCATTTCTTTTGCCGAACTCACTGTGCTTCTTGTAAGCTCTGCTTCAATCTATTCTCGGCAGCCAAAGCAGCTGCAACAGATGGTGGCAAATGCGTCAAATTCTCGGACGAATTGCCATTTTCTAAAGGTTCCGAAGAAGGCTTTCCAGACAAAAATAAGGACTCAACGTCCCGAAGAGTTAGGGAGCGATGATCATTGTTTCTGTTATTGCTATTGATCACAGAGTTAGGAGGCTTGTTTTTGTTGAGCTTGTATATGCTCTCCTCTACTGTATCTTTCACCTGTTATGGAATAAGGATTTAGAATGGAAAAAACTGTAAAAAGGGGGTGAAAACACCCACATGCAGATATTTTTGACATAAAAAGAGAAGGGAAAAATATATGGAAAAATGACCTTTACCCTCCTCCTTGAAAACTCCATCCCTACTAGTCCCTTTGGTTCAACAAAATCCCTTGTACCCCTTCAAATTTAAAATTTTGGGACCGTTAGCCCCCTAATTGTATTTTTATTTTACAAAATTCTCCCTTCCCTTTCTCTTCCGGAGCCTAAAACCAATCTTACCTCCGTGGATCCCACTCTATAAATTTAGACATAAAAAGAAAATGATTTTTTCTTTAATATTATGATCTATTTTATAATTACATCAATATCTTTTAAACTTGAAAAATGATTAATCAAGATATTTGTTACTATTTTTAATGGATTATTATTATTTATTTATTCATTTGTTAAAATTTTATCGAAATACCTATAAGAGATTAAATATTTAACAATTAATATATTATTGATGTTATTATTGTTATTATTATAAATATTAATTAATTATAATAATTATTATTATTATCATCAATAAAATTTGTATATCAAGTCACAAAAAAAATATGGATGACTAATGTATGGATATGACGTTTTATAAAACAAAGAAATCAAATTTCTAAAAAAAACAAAGAAAAACATAATTACGGGGCTAATGGTCCCAAAATTTTCAACTTGAGGGGGTGCAAGGGATTTTGGTTAACCCAAGGGGCTAATAGGAATAGCAATTTCAGGGAGGGGGTTAGAGGTCATTTTTCCAAATATATTTACATGTGTGTACGTGTGCGAGAGTGTATGTGCATGTCAGAGAGAGATAGAGAGAGAGAGAGAGAGAGAGAGAGAGAGAGATTCTGCAAATGAATTTCTAGATAAAATTTCAAGAGGACAATAGAAACTCTTTAACCAAACCAGAAGGATGAAAAGATAGTGTAAAATCAAATCAATAAACCAAGCAAAAATGGACCTAACTACAATGAATGAAATTAATTAAAAAAACACCCAATCCATAAACAAGTCATAAGGAATAGAATCACTAAGAAGTAAAAGATCAAAACCTTTTCTAATCAAGCATAACATGGTTTTCAAACTCACCTCCATATCTATTCATACAAACACACAGGGGGGAGGAGAGAGAGAGAGAGCATACAATGAAACGATGAACAAAAGTTGCTTTATCCTGTCCGATTCTATGGACTCTGTTGATTGCTTGAGCTTCTGTGGCAGGATTCAGAAGCGGCTCTACAAGAATGACATGCTGCGCTTCAAGGAGATTAAGACCATTGGCCCCATGTTGAATCAAGAGTAGTAACACTTGGATGGGTCTGTTCTCATGATCCCCTTCTTTACCTCGTTTGGCTTTATCTGTTTCTCCTTTGAACTGCCTGAGAGCAAGTTGTGATTTCCTGTAATTACAAGTTATGACAAGCATGTGAATAAGAGCATCTTTAGACCTTCTGATGATACATAACAGTTCCTTGGAAGAGAGGTGGGGGGGGGGGGGGGGGGTAAGAGAGAGAGAGATCATTGACACTTTCTTTGTCATACTAGGATTTTAGTTTGATACAACCCGATATTTGGTTGCTTTCTTTCTTACAGTTTGTCTTCCAATGAAAATTTCTGGCTCTAGTTGTAACCAAAATTCAGCTAGTTTTTCAGGGCTAAAGTATATAAAAGCCTTCCATTATACTTATGAAGACCCATTTAGTGGCAATCAGAAGCAATAAACATCTGGTTTTAGAAGATTCTTTCAATAAATTATGTTTTATCAGAACATAAAGTTACTCTGTCATGCAAATCAAGTTATATTCTTCATTTGTTGCACTTAGAAAACCAACTCTAGAAAAACTCACATAGTTAGGAAGCAAGCATTGTACAAGATGTCCATACCTGCCCCCTTTCATTCGGATATGGCTAACACTGTTAGCACCCAAAGAATGTTCCAGCACATCAAGGACATCATTCCAGCTCGAGAAGACCAAAACTTTGGCTTCTGGATCTGTCGACCTAATCCATAGAATTCTCCTTGTGACCGCTTCGATCTAACACACAAGAATCAGATAAACACCAGATATATTAAACACAAGGAAAACAAAATGTTAAAACGTACTGAAATAATGCAACTTTTGAAGGGAATTAACTATAATTCAATATATTATGGAAACCAGAGCCCATCAGGGGGTCATCTCCATCCATTGAAAATATTCTTGCAGAAGAAAGAGTGGGACCCACAGTTGTTTTTTCCAGCGTCTATTATGCTTTCCTAATTTTTTTATCGTCCCCCTAAATCAGATTCCATGGAAGTTTTTAAGCTCCTTATCCAATCTGCCATGACTAAAAAGAACAAATATAAAAAAGTGACAAAAAACTAGCTGCTTTGAACTGAACCAAATAAGACCCCTGATTTGAACCAGTCCAGTCCCTTCAGGTGATTAAATCAGTTTTCTATTTAAAGAATTATATTTAATGATCAAAATGACCAGATAACTCTCATTGTGGACCAAACAGGTTCAATTTCATTTTCTGTCAAGATGGACATGCATATGCAAAATAAGTGATATATAAAATACCTTTGTACCATATGAACCATGAACACAAATTGAATTTTCGGACTTTTCTTGATCTTGGCACTTATCCGGTGATCCCAAATCAGAAGCTCCACTAATGCTATCATCGACAAAAGCTATGTTGCCAAAAACTGTTTGTTGTCTGCAGGTTGGGCACATGACCCACTTTCCTTGTGACCTTCCATTAGGAAATACTGATCCTTCCGTCATTAAAATAAAACCTGTACGAAAAGAAGATATACCAAGGGCAAAAAACCACAAAATAAATTGTGCCATTTTTTTTATTCTAATGCTGTAGAAGTTCACCCAGCTAAAAAATTGATGTTGGGGTGTTTGCTTAACCCCATCTTTTGCAAACATGGCCATGAAGGAAAAAAAGAATCTAATGTTTTTGAAGAAAGAGAAATTTGGATCAATGCCAGCTGCTAGTTTTGGTGTGCCGATTGGTTTAGGGTTAGATATTGTCAAAAAAAAATTCTTTCTTTGAAATTGTCCGTCTGGTGTTTTCAAGACCATCCCCAAAATAAACAAATCCCTATACACACACACACAAACTAGTCCAGACCTATGCGAGCACCTAATTGAATTACAAACAAATAAATTTCATTTATTAAACCGACATGAATTCGTTTTAAAATAATAAAATCATCAATTAAACTTTGAAAAAGAACGTATCATACCAAAATCCCTTACTTTCACTGGAAAACAAAAAATTATGGAATTCGAGAAGACTTGAAGAATTTATTGAACCTCATTCATTAAGACTCTGCCACGCAAGGATAAAGAATACAAATTCCCTTTTTTTTATATTTGCAATATTTGAACAATAAAAATTCAAGACTAAATAATTTAAGAAAGTTTCATATTTCCCAATTTTAAAAACATGTAGCATTGATATGGGAAAAGATTCTATAGGCCAAATGGCCTATAACTACAGCTAGACCCAAAGGCCAAAAGACATAGATAGGGGTAGTTCACCACATGCAGTTCTTCGATACATGTTTAACAGAAAAACAAAAGAAATAATTCGAGCTCTTAATACTGTAGATCTCAACATCCAACTAATGGACACTGCAGAGTTGTTCTTGAAGCCGGAATTGAGACAAAGCAATTTTTGAGCTCTAATCAGTTTTTCATTTTTTTTTAGATTGATATTAGATATGAATAAAGATGTTTTGAGATTATTGCGTTGAAATAAATCCGTAAGGCTCTTTGGCATATAGAGACAATAGAGACCCATATAATCTTACACACAGACACACATCCATGAAATTAAATTATTACAGAAAGGAATTGCAAACTCACATTTGCAACAAGTAACATGTCCACACTGGAACACCATTTTCTGGTCACCAGCTTTGTCCTGACAAACTGGGCATGCCTCATCATAATTACGATCCAGGCAACCAATTGGAGCTGTCCTTTGAGCACCAAGACTCCCCAGTACATCACTCTTTTGATCCTCGTTCATGGATGAAACATTAGAATCCTCAGGTTTTATTCTCTGCTTAGAGAGAGCCAAACCCTGGAAAAAAAATATTCAATAAAAAATTAGTAACTTCGACGAAGTTTTCCTTTGTAACAAATTCCTATGAAACATTGCACAACCAACACTACTTTATCAAGTAAACGAATATGTATTAACTACCGAAGATCATATGAACTTCCAACTAGCTTATTAAAATATCTCATATCCATATAGGAGAATTCCCTTGCCTTAAAAAGAATAACCAATTTACAAACAACGGCAATTAAATAAAGCAAACAATGCTGCTTGAGTTATACCACGAATTCACAGGCCTTTAAGACTTGGGACCTGCTTGAGTTATGCCATGAATTCCAATTAATTCCCGTGATCATCAAAACTATATGTAAATAGTGCATAAAATTCTAGAAAGGGTACAAGAATTCATAATCTCAACGGTATGAATTTTAAACATTCTAACACTTGGGGCCTGCTTGGGTGACGTAATTTTATCTGGAATAGATTATCTTATCTGAAATTAATTTACTCTGGATAATGTTATTTTATCAGTTGTTTGGTAAGTATCTTGTGTTATGTATAATATTATTTAAATATTTAAATTTCAGTGATTTCCAGCTATTTTTAGCTATCCTTGCCAAGAACATGTGATGTTCAGTAGATTGCCCATCCTTTCGATCAATTTACGGTTAACATCTTCAAAAAAAGAACAACATGTCATGTTCAGCAAATTACTTTGAAAAAAGTCAAAACAGCATTTCAAAAAGGTTAACTTATATGTAAAACTGCCTATAAGTATTATCTTAGATAACTTTATGATGGACACAACTAAACAACAGATAACTCGTTATCAGGATTAACTTTATTGAGACAGTAGATTAGCAGTAATAAAGAGTACATCCAAACAGTCTCTTGGATAAGATTATGCTTATAATTATGAACTGTGCAACTGGATGAGTACTCCACAACTTCAGTTTTTGAGAAAGTTACGAGTCATGCAATTTCATAGTTCAGAACAGAAGGAAAAGTATACAATAAGATCATCTATATTTGGTACATGAAGGTCACAATTGACTTTGACCATTGGATGTAACATTGCGCTGCTACATTTGTTCCATTGACTAGGCCCAAAGTTCAAAAGAAACCTTTTCAAACTTTATAACACACCCAAGCTGTCAGATTTTACATCGGATAGTTATAGGCAATTGTCACCTCAAACAAAAGGAAAATGGTCTCATAGTATACAATCCCAATAAACATCATAAAAATCATACACATACCTTCAAATAACGAAGTTGCCCTTTCATACGAGATAGTGTGGCAAGTGAGAGAAATTTTTCACCAGAAAATTGCACACTAGCTGTAACCAATTCCTCTGAGCTTAAGGCATCTATAGTTGAATGCTCATCGTTGGTCTCCCTCAAGCGAAGTCGTGAAGTCGCCATCTTAATTTCATCATGTGCACGCAGATATTGTGCTTGAACAACTGACAATGACCTTGCGGCCGGAAACTCCTTTCTCATAGTCTTAAATGAGGGACATTAGATTATTACCCAGTTCATCAAGAGGAATAAAATAGGCATCGACAGAGGGGAACAAATGTGGATAATGAAGTCATAATTTATCATAAGAAGAAGAAAGAGACATCGAGAAGAAAAAAGGGAAGTTCGCAAATTATCAACCAAGAAAATTATCACTCAAACAAACATCAACTGATTTAAGCATTGACTTGACCACCGTCGGCATTGGCTCAGATTTAAAAAAAGTGATTCACAGAGTGTTCTCTATATTGTCAAAGTACTTTCCCATTTTTCTATAAAAAAAGTACCTTTCTGAACAACATATAGTACTTGATTGGAAAGTGGTATATACCTAGTGAAAGCATAACACGCAGTTCTCCAATATTCATTCTGGAATACTGAGATACCTAGCAAAACTACACTTTGTTACATTTGCAAGAACACGGTATTTCTTTTGTCAAGAAGAGGTAAGGGAGGAGATTTGTGGATGAAATAATGTAATTTATTAGTTATCAAAATCATATTAATTTTTTCAGTTTCTTCCCATTGAAAGTGCTACATCACGTTCCTTTAATTCACTCATTCCTCATTTCTGTAGTGTGAAGGTAATGGTAGAATGGTGAGTTTTCTTGCTCATAACTACAGGAAGATAGGAATATAAAGCCCATTCTGTGATTCCCCCTTATATCTCATTATTATTATTATTGGTGGTAGATTTACCATGAATGTTTCACATATGATGTGCTTTTAAAATGCTTACCTCAAAAAGAAATAAATGCTTGTTGGCTGACACCATATGATCTCTTCCAAGTCGTGATCTTAAAAAGCTTTTTATAATCTTAAGGATGACTTCCAATTCTGAGGGAGACCTTGAAACCTATCACGTATAACATTAAACAGTTCAGAAAAAAGATAACTTCATGTTATGACCAAGAAGGACATATTGTTGCATATTACCAATATTAGTCATCAGGTACAAGCATAATTGTACAAATCCAGCTTATGCAAATCAGAAAATAATTAAGCATGGAATATGAGGAATCAAATTTTAACAATTTGGTATGTTAAATAACATAACTCAGTAGGATAAGAACAAAATCAGAGAAAAATACAACCAACAAGAAAATTTTTTCGATTTTATCAAATCTAAAAAGATGTCTACTTCACAAAAAATGCAACATTATCTAGTGCAAAGGACTTTTTTTTAAGTATCAGAGAGAAAATTTTGCCTGGTAAAACTTCCAATGCAAATGTCAGAATTTCTCAATGATAGAATGTGATTAATCTGATGGAGGAGTTGCTTGTTTTGTACAGTGCCTCAACTACTCTACATGTAGAAAGCCTTAACGAGAGATAAAAGATCACTAACAACTCACCACTACGTTCACTTTAACCTGACGTTGCATCCTATTCTCTTCTGCTTTAACATTTGATACAGGTGTAGTTTTATTTATTTGGGATAAGCCCCCAAAGAAACGATTCAATTCAGACTTTTGCTTCTGCAGATCTAGGGCTTCCTCAGCTGATGCAACCATCCCACTACTATCTCCTTTAGTAAGTAGAAAGAGCCGAGTCTCATATCCCTGGATACAAGAACAGAGCGAACGACAAGAACGAAAACAAAGCAGTTTATATCAAAACATCAATGAACTAATCATTTGACATAAAATGAACTGAATTGAACACATGAGTATGCAGGCCTGGCCCAGCTTTAACATTTGAGCCCATATAGGATACAGCAAACAGAAGTATCGATAAACTGACCTGAAACAATTCATCTAATTCACAATGGATGCACAGAGGTCCATCATCATTCATTTGGCAATTCTTGCAGAATCTTACACGTTCAATATCAACATCCCTAGGTTTCTCCATTGTTTGGTCAATCTCCAGGAGACGATCAACTAATTCCTTTCTAGAGTTTTCAAGGGAATCCAGTCCAGTTTGTATTAGATACTTCAGGCCACTTATGCTGCGAAACCTGGAAGGGGACAAACCAATGAGAAATAGATTATAGTTGTCAAGAAAAACCATCATATTAACTCTTACAGTTAATTATAAAATTTTATTTAAGTGGAGATTCCAATTTTGAATTTTATAAGAATGAAAAGTTTCAAATGGAGGTTCACACACCCATATGATGGGTGTATCATAGGTATGAAGCAGTGTTAAAAAAAAAAACGGAAATGCTGGAGCGCATCGTCCACCACTAATCCTAATCACGATCGGCAATATCAACAATCAGGGTCGGCTAGATCGAGACTGAATCAGGGATCCGACAATTATTTTTTAAAAAAATAAAAAAAGGGAACATATTTCATACGTTTTATTACACAAATGTTGAAATGGCATATTGGTTGTACCATGAGATATGGATATCGATGTTACAGGTTCGAATCCTACAATTTTCTAAGGTTGAACTTCAAAAACTATTTTAAGCTTTTGTTCAAAAAGTTCTTCTCATGGGGTTCGAACCGTGAACCCCATGTGCAACATTCAAATACGCTAACCATAAATGCTAATTAATGTCTTTAGAAAAATTAGACATATTAATTATAGATATACTCTTATAATACCGATCCAGCCCAAAAACTGGATTGTCCACCACCGATTCCCGATCATGATTGGCAATTTCCTCTCCGGATCGGCAATTTTTTAAACCAAGGTTTAAAAAAACGGATCAGTAACCCAGATTGGCCACCTCAAAAACCATGTCAGATCGGTGGATCAGCAATCTGGATCGGAGAGTCTGCCGGATCGGCAGGTTCGACCCAAATTTTTTTCAAAAAAATCACTAAAAATCCCTAAAAATAGAGTTTCTTGAGTTTCCAAAAAAAATTAGAAGTAGTGTATTATGTATTTTCATTATTTTGCAAAAATACATGAATAGTGAGACGTTGTTCCCTTGTCTAGATGTATGTTAACCATTCGTTCATATTACTGAAAAAAAGAGCTTACAATCATCATGGATGTGAATACATAGTCCAAAATGGAGCATGAAACAACTAAAATACAGCCTAATACTAAAATGAAAGACATCATTGAACACAATGGATGTTTGAGAGGAGCTGATTTTGCATTGTTTTTCAGTAACAAAAGGGCTAAGGGTGACCATTCGTTGATAAAGATATATGATGAAGCGCCATGAGTGTACCTTGAACTATGCATGAGAAAGAGAGTTGGGGGTGGGCAATTTTCCTAAGAGAAAGAGAGTTGGGGGTGGGCAATTTTCCTAAGAAAGAGAGAGAGAGAGACAGAGAGAGGGAGAGAGAGAGAGAGAGAGAGAGAGAGAGAGAGAGAGTAGTTAGTAGTACGTACGACTACGTGTTACGTTAACGTTTCGTTACTAGTTCGTACGTTACTTACTTTAACTTTACCGTTACGACTAATTAAAGTTAAAAAATAAAAATAAAAAGTA